CATCACTATCCTGTCACTCAAGCCAAACCTCCTCTCCTTTACCAGTCCCCCACCTCCAATCATCAAGTGTTAACAAAACATCTTCCTAAATTTCTCTGGAATGGATCTCTTCCTTAGTTTCCTTTTGCAAGTCCATTTCTTCATGAGTCTGTTATGTGAGATTTTAATTGCTCTGTCACAGTTTTCTCTTCTTCAGTCAGTGGTGACAGCTAGAAAACAAATGACAAAATTTTTATTTCAAAAATCTTCAAAGACTGTTAAACTCTGCTTCATCATATCAAAAAATTTTATGGCAACAAAAGTTTATTTATTTATTTTTTAAATATTTATTTTTTAATTGTAGTTGGCCACAATACCTTTATTTATTTTTATGTGGTGCTAAGGATCGAACCCAGGGCCTCGCACATACTAGGAGAATACTCTACTGCTGAACTACAACCCCAGCCCCTCCACAAAAGTTTATACTATGCATGTAATCACCAATTTTAGGAAGACAGAGGAAAAAAATAAATATTTCATTATCTACATACAAGTTATTATGATGTTTGAGATTCCAGAGAAATTGCAATACAAAGAAAGATGACCAAGAAATCCAACAATTTTAGAACTAAAGAAAACCAAATAAATCATGATTGTATGTCACATTCTAAAAGTATTTTGAAAAGGAGATGTGAATAAAAATAGTCTCAAAATTTTCTCAGAGAAATAAGAGGCATGGGCTAAACTTGGAAGAATAATTAAAAGGTATTTAACTGCAAATAATAAACATTTCAAAATAGATAAACTATAAAATATATTATCATTGCAAAATAAGTTCTGAAGAAAGAAAGACTTCAAAGCTGACTTAATTTGATAMCTTAACCATCTTGAGGAAGTCCTCAAGATTTTCTCCAGTGAAGAAACTTCCTTGAATCAAACCGTGTAATATGATGTATTAAGAACTATATAATGTTATGAACGACCAATAAAAAAAAAAAAAAAAAAAAGAAACTTCCTAATTACCTACTTCCAAACTTGCCCTCCTCACATCATTGGGATATAAGCCCATTCCTGAACCAATGTGACTAAAAGGAAAATCCACTCGCCTTTCCAATCAAATACGTCCCTAGATCTAAGGATAGGACCAACTTCAACGCAGTCATGCATCTCTGAGGAAAGACATGAATCCCAAGAAAATCTATACTCTGATATATTGGAAGGAAATAGATGATAACAGCCAGCCAAMACTATCTACCAAAAGCAGGAAGAAACAAGAGCAAAAGCTAGAAGAAGGAAAACAAGGGAAGTTATATAGAATTTTCACAAAGCACCAAACAGTCTGCATGAAACAAAGGGATATATGGGGAAATAATAGGAGATACAACTTGAATCACTCAAATAGTTACAAATCTGCTTCATTATATAGGTCATCTCTAGAGAGACTGCTAAATCTGGAGCACCCAAGACCTACAGAATCAGAATCTCTAGGGCACTGCTGTCCAATAAAACTTTCCATGATGCTGAAAATATTCTATATCTGTACTGTCCAATTGAGAGGTGAGTAACTTGAATTTTCAATTTCATGTAATTGTTTACATTTATACAGCCACATAATGGCTCTTGGTCAGCCTAGATGTCCAACAGAAGCTACACAAATAGCTGGTGTGACTGACGAACTCCAAAATATTCACATGGATAAAATCATATGCCTTACTGCAACCCAAACAGTTACATATTCACTGAGAACTAACAAGTCTTTCCAAAATATCATTTACTACCATTGATAGGAAATTCTGTCTCAGCACTAAAAATATAAATTTTAAAAAGAATTCTGGACCAAATTTACTGGGTTATTAACCTGTGAAAATTACTCTGGCTACTAGCCCATAATTGWAATATAATTTAGTACAGAGCTAGCAGATGAATACAGCGCAGGCAGCCCCACTTTGTTCACATACCCACCGCATAGACTATTTTCTGCCATTCCCAGATACAGTATAATACACCATGTTAAGTAGCCTTTACCAATTAGCATCTGAGATAAAAATTTATAGGATATCCTTTACCCATATAATTTAGTTCTACACTTTGATTTCTTCTATAAATAGCCTACATTTTCTTTCTAAACTCCCAATTTTCATTGATAGTAAAGGAAGATGATGCCAAATCCTTCAATTGTCTTAGTCCCTAGGTTAGCAGCTCATATCCTTTTTTCTATTCTAAGGTATCTGAAGACTACATCAGTGATAGAGACTCCCAATTACAAAGATTCCTATACTAAATGAGATGGGGATGGGGAATGGAATGAGAAAATGAAAAGAGAAATGGAAGTTTGGTCCACCCATGCCTGACAACATAATTGAAGGAAAGCAGAATTAAAAGGAAAAAAAAGAGGGCTGGGACTTTTCAGTGCCAGAGCACTTGTCTAGCATGGTTTTGATACTTAGTAGTCAGAGAAAAAAAAAAAAAACAGTCACTGTTATTAATGTTTTCTGTCTTCTAAGTCTTATTACTTTTTATAAGAACCAGCAGAGAGGGTACATCCAATAAACTATTGAGTAASTTCTCTCTTTCACACGGTTAAGTAATACAAAAGAGCATACCTCTTCATTAACCATGTCACATTCATGTCTTATTTTAAAATACAAGGACATAAGAGCAATTACACTTCATACTCAGGGTATCAAGAAAATCTCACCAGGTACAATGGCACATGCCTATAATCCCAGAGGTTTGGGAGGCTGAGGCAGGAGGATCACCAGCCTCAGCAATTTGGTGAGGTCCTTAGCAAATTAACAAGGCCCTAAGCAACTTAGTGAGACCCTTTCTCAAAATAAAAAATAAGGTCTGAGATTGTGGCTCAGAGATAGAGTGTTTGCCTGACATGTGTGAGGCACTGGGTTCAATTCTTAGCACCACAGACCCATAAATAAATAAAATTTAAAAATTCATCAACAACTAATAAAGATATTTTAAATAAATAAATTAATTAAAATAAAAAATAAAAAGGGCTGGTAATATAGATCAGTGGTAAACTGTCCCAAATTAAAATCCCAGTACTTCCCCGCAAAAAAAAAAAAAAAAAAAGAATCTCAATTTCGTAATACCCTGAGTTTGGTCCAGCACCAAGAAAGAAAGAAGAAAAATAAATAAATAAATAAATAAATAAATAAATAGATAATCTCATTTATATCTATAGTTCAAACTAGCTGCTAAATTTTAAAATCCAAATTACTAAGGGATTTATTTATCTTTTAAAACAACATTCACAGCTAACATTAAACAAATCCAACTTGTCAACTGAACACATTACCTCCAGATCTGTTTGCTTTTGTAGTTCTTCTATCATGGTCACAGTCTTATTCAAAGTAGCATAAATGCGGCTCTTAGTCTCTTTCTGCTCAACAGCAACTGGTTTAAAACGTGCATATAAAGATTGATAGCGAGACTTCATCACTRACAATTCCTTTAGGACAGAAACTGGATTTTTCTACATCAGAAAAAAAATTAATATATGTTAAATCATGAGATGGAAAACTTAGGTTCTTTTTTGAGAATTAAAGCATACAGCTGGGGATGGGGCTCAGTGGTAGCACATATGCCTGGCATGTGTGATGCACTGGGTTCAATTCTCAGCACCACATATAAATACATAATAAAGGTCTATCAACA